ATCGCATTTGTAATGCGATGGTCATCGGTTCGATTCCGATAGTCGGCTTTTCTCTATTTATTTTATTCTATGTTTTACATGATTGATAATGCATCTTTGAAATCAAAGAATATTGAAAAAAAATGTTTTCCTCTTTTGGCGAAAGCCCTTGATTTATTATGTGATAGGAATTTCCAACTATCTAACGAAAAGAATCCTTTTCTTTTTCTATATATAGAATATAAAGATCTGGATATTTATCCAACTCATCTCATTATTCTTTAATAGAATAACTAAGTAAATTTCGCTTTATTTAGAATTTAGTTCATTTTTAGTTTAGGTTTATTCTGTAGAATGAAATTTCATCAATAAGAATTAATAATTAAATATAAATAAGAAGAAGGAGTCTTTATGTCGCGTTACCGAGGTCCTCGTTTCAAAAAAATACGCCGCCTGGGGGCTTTACCAGGGCTAACTAATAAAAGGCCCAGAGCTGGAAGTGATCTTAGAAACCAATCGCGTTCCGGGAAAAAATCCCAATATCGAATTCGCCTAGAAGAAAAACAAAAATTGCGTTTTCATTATGGTCTTACAGAACGACAATTACTTAAATACGTTCGTATCGCCGGAAAGGCAAAAGGGTCAACAGGTCAGGTTTTACTACAATTACTTGAAATGCGCCTTGATAACATTCTTTTTCGCTTGGGTATGGCTCCGACTATTCCGGGAGCTCGCCAATTAGTTAACCATAGACATATTTTAGTCAATGGTCGTATAGTAGATATACCAAGTTATCGCTGCAAACCCCGAGATACTATTGCGGCGAGGGATGAACAAAAATCTAAAGTTCTAATTCAAAATTCTCTCGATTCATCCCCCCATGAGGAATTGCCAAACCATTTGACTCTTCAACCATTCCAATATAAAGGATTAGTCAATCAAATAATAGATAGTAAATGGGTCGGTTTGAAAATAAATGAATTGCTAGTTGTAGAATATTATTCTCGTCAGACTTAAACCTAACAAAAATAAAATCAACACTAATAAGAATAAGGAAGAATAAGGGTTCGACCCATTTTGCTCCCTTTCGGCGAAGTAAATTAACCTAAGGTTAAGATAAATAAGGGTTTGATCCGGATTTTTCTTCCATTTAGGTATCATAGACCGAGAGGGAGATTTTCATTCCTTGTCTACTCTACTCTTTTCGTTTACACAGTATTTTCTGTACCACAGCCATTAGGAATAGAGAATCCATATCAACGAAAGGTCTAACTGTTGGAATAGTCGTATCCATTGCTATTTGATCTATTGTGGTTAGTAAGATCGATGAATTAGGTGAAGGTACGGAAAGGAAAGAGAGGGATTCGAACCCTCGGTAAGCAAAAGCCTACATAGCAGTTCCAATGCTACGCCTTCAACCACTCGGCCATCTCTCCTACATAATGATTATGACCCAAAAAACTAAAATCGAGTGAATAGTGAATCATTCTAGATTATTGGGTAG